ATATATATATCTGTAACTGGGTTTTGATATTTGCTGTGTAAAGGAGACTGGTTCCTGTTATAATGTGCATTCTTCTAAAAAAACAGCAACAAAAAATATACATTTTTCTCTGACACATCTTACATTCCAAAACATGAATCAATAGCAATGTTGTCTTATTCCAAAATATAATTAAGAAGTACACCTAGATCTGTTCAGCTCAGGCTGGTCGTCTCTGCTGTGTTGATAATAATCACCCCCAACAGCAGCAGTACCATTGTAGGGAAACCCCTGTTTGCTAACTGTAGGCAGGAGCATTCTGGATTTTCTTTACTTGAAGAAATGACAGAGTGATTTACTCAAAATACATCACCAAATCTCCATGCCGTCAATGCAGGCTATCCCTGTTTGTACAGGCAGCTGTGTAATGAAAAATGACAATACGTTGTCATACTTTTAATATCTTTGGTCATGGTGGTTGGATGGATCTCTGTGTAAAATAATTTGAAGGAAGTGATGTTTGCTGTATGCTGTTTTAAAGCTGTGTGAAAATAAATAAACCTTGAGGTGTATTTGGATTACATTTTAATTAAATACACCACAGACATTAAATGAAATCAAGGATCAAGTTAAAAGACTTAATATATTTTGTGGTCATTTTAATTAGGACTGCATGCTATTAGCTAGACCCCCTACTTCCACCTATTCTAGTTCCCAATTTTGGGTTGCATCAGTATTTACTGTCATGTTTGGAATGGTTTTATTTACTGTTCTACAGGATGCTCTTCCCACAGGGCTTGATAATCCTCTTACCTTGTGGGGGGCATAGAATTTTTTTCTTTTGCCTCAAGTGTGGCTCCAGGCATTGCCTAAGGCTTATGGCAATTTTGGCAGCAGCTTCCAAGCCTCAACCTGAAACCTGGCCACGCTTCCCCAGCCTTCAACCTGCCTCCGTTACCCCTGCGTCCATCACAAAGTCCCAGATCCGTTTTTAGCCTGCAGCCTGGAACATGTTTTCTGGTAATACATCAGTAGGCATTATGTCCCCAGTAACATCAGCATCCATTGGGGAAAACATAACCTTGGGAGTGACTTTGTGGCTGTCAGTGTCCCTTCACGCAGCTTGCTGTGAATCTTAACATATCGTCAGACTCCAAAGAAAGGCAAAGTTGGAGTTTGTCCAAGGTGTGGGGAATGTTTGTCCCATCCATAACCAGTTAGATCTCCACTACTGTTTTTGCACCGCACACAGACATCAACAACATGGATTTGACACGTTGTTCAAGTCTTTATTATGTCGTTTGCAAACTAAAGTCTCTATGAGCATATTGCGTCTCTCTTGTTTTCTATTCTATTCTGTCATACTTAAAGCATATTAATGTTTCAGGGCCAATACCTGATGATTAGTGTCACTTCAGGATGTATTACTTTTAACCTGAGACTGCAAGCAAGCAAGGAAACAGCAGATGGAGTATGATTTGTCAGCAAGTATTTGCTCCATTCTGAATAATCATCTTGATTAAGGAGATGGAGGCTTTGATTACAGTTTCCCCAACAAAGGCGTTCAATTGAGGCACGTTTAGTTTAAATTAATCATCTCTTCTGCACTTGACTGAAAGACTTGCGATGCTAATTTTATGGACATATAAGATGTCTTACATTTAAAAAGTGTATGCACCGGTTTTGTAAATGAATATATACATGGCTTCTATAAATCACGTATGTGGTTCAGAGTGTCAGGCTGTAGCTGTGCCAAAAATTTTTTCTATTGCCATTGGCCATATTGGACTGCTTTCTAATTCAGCCAGCATGGAAATGCATATAGGCCGTCTGTTTGGCTTCATTCCTAGTGTTTATGTACCCTGTGTTCGGCCCGTATCATGGCAGGTTTTGGATGAAATAAATAGGAAAACACACGTGGTGGTAACTAATTCCAACGTTACCATCACATACTCACCACAAGCCACAATGATCCTCTCCATCCCCAGTTTTTACCCGCTCTGACTCCAGAATCGTTTCCTTCCCTTGTGTCCCATCAGTGGCTGTTTCCCACATCCTACTGAACCATTAGTCAACGCTGATGTGGCAAAGCAGTGATGATCACTCTGTATGAAGGATGAAGATGGAGTTTTTTGCCTTGCCTTTGGGTTCTCTGTGTCTATCCCTCAGCAGCCACGCTGTCTAGTCTCTTGGTAAACTTTGATATTATCGTTACCATTGGTATTTTTTTTTAAAGCTGAGTGATGGCTCCAGAAAGGAGTCGCAGAGAGATTAACAATGAACCTCAGAAGGTGGAAGAGCTCCAGTAAATATGTGGTGATGTCTCTTTACTCTCTGTTGTGTTTTTGTCAGGGTGCATTAATATAAAGGTGTGCACACATTTATTTGGGTAGTGGGAGAATGAATGTGTGTGTGGCAGATGGCGGCCTGTTTGTGGAGTAAAGCCAATAGTTTTCAAAGTGCAATATTTTGGTTGACATTAAACGTTCAAGCACTGTCTTCTCCATTATTTATAGCTTCTCCGCATGTATCCATTTCTTTCTAAAGAGCTTTCCATCCACTACTATCACTCTCCCCCATTTTTACTTCCACTGTCTTCCTCTCTTGTTCTTTCTTACTTATTTCCACCCATGCGGAAAAGTTGTTGATTTTGGTAAAATCCCTAGAAGACACAGTCATCAAAGAGTGTTTAAGCAATCAAACAGAGTCAATTTTGGTGTTGTAGTAACTCTGTTTGATTGCACTACATTTTAATGACCATAATTCTGTGGGCGAGTGTGTTGTGTAAGCAGAGAACAGATGGCTCAGAGAGCATATTTTAACAACCAAATGACTTGTTTTTAACACAAAGAGCTGACAAGGCACTTGAATTTTACTCAGTTTCAATTTTCCCTTGAGTGGCTCTTTAGCATCATCCTATTTGTTTCTCTCTCTTTCCCATAGGCATTATCCACCAGATGAAGGGGGACTATGAGACTGCACTGAAACTCCACAAAACACACCTGGCCATTGCTCAGGAGCTGAATGACTATGCTGCCCAGGGTCGGGCTTATGGTAACATGGGTAATGCTTACAATGCCCTTGGAGCCTTTGACCAAGCTGTCCGCTACCACCGCCAGGAGCTGCAAATCTCCATGGAGGTCAATGACAGGGCTTCACAGGCGTCCACTCATGGCAACCTGGCTGTAGCTTACCAAGCCCTTGGTGCTCATGATCGGGCTCTACAACATTACCAGAACCACCTCAACATAGCTCGGGAGCTCAGAGATGTACAGAGTGAAGCTCGAGCTCTGGGAAACCTCGGCAACTTCCACTGCTCTCGGGGAGAATTTCCTCAAGCTGTGCCCTACTACGAGCAGTACCTCAGACTGTCCCCTGAGCTCCAAGACATGGAGAGTGAAGGGAAAGTTTGTCACAATTTGGGTTATGCTCACTACTGCTTGGGCAACTACCAGGATGCTGTCAAATACTACGAGCAGGATCTAGCTCTGGCCAAGGATCTCCATGACAAACTAAGTCAGGCCAAGGCATACTGCAACCTTGGTTTGGCTTTTAAGGCCCTTGGAGATTTTGCTAAGGCAGAGGAGTGCCAGAAGTATTTGCTGTCATTGGCCCAGTCCCTGAACAATGCGCAGGCTCGCTTCAGAGCACTGGGGAACTTAGGGGACATATTTGTCTGTAAAAAAGATGTAACTGGAGCCATTCAGTTTTATGAACAGCAACTGGCTTTAGCGCACCAGGTGAGGCCAATAAGATAATTAAACTATTTGGCATGAAAAAGAAATCTGTTTTTATATCATTCACTCGTGTCCCTCTTTTTCTTGTTTCAGGTTAAGGAACGTAGGATGGAAGCCTGTGCTTATGCTGCTCTCGGAGCCACCTACAGACTTGTGCAGAAATATGACAAAGCCCTCGGCTACCACACCCAGGAGCTAGAGGTTTACCAAGAGCTCGGTGATGTGTCAGGGGAGTGCAAAGCCCATGGCCACTTGGCCGCTGTCTACATGGCCCTCGGAAAATATGCCATGGCTTTCAAGAGCTACGAGGAGCAGCTAGAACTGGGTCGAAGGTTAAAGGATCCTGTTGTGGAGGCTCAAGTTTATGGAAACATGGGCATCACAAAAATGAATGTGGGAGTGATGGAGGAAGCTATTGGGTACCTGGAGCAGCAGCTGGCTACTCTGCAGCAGCTAAGTGGAAATGAAGCAGTAATGGACCGGGGCAGGGCATATGGAAACCTGGGAGACTGTTATGAGGCTCTAGGAGATTTTGAAGAGGCCATCAAGTACTATGATCAATATTTATCAGTAGCACAGAGTCTAAATCGCATGCAAGACCAGGAGAAAGCCTACAGAGGCCTAGGCAATGGACACAGGTAAGACTGCTTCTTTTTTTCTTACTTAAAATTACTGTTTGTTTTTGACACTACTTGCATATACTGGAGCTTTATCAGTAATCACAACTTCTCTGTTGTAATTTATCATATTATGTGCTTACAGTCATAAACCCCATTGGTATAAACATGTTTCTGACGAGCAATGCTTAATGGTGAATCTGGTTCTAGCTGTGTCAGCAGTAGCCAAGTGGCCTTGATCTTAAATAAATGCAAAGTAGTTTGGCGCACAGATGTCCGAGAGCGGGAGAAGCGTTGTTATTTTAGGACAACTTCATGCATCTTGTGCCTCTTATTCCTTATATTTCTCCTGTATTTCTTGCCTTAAAGAGCAGATAAAAACCTGGGTACATGCAAAATAAAACACGGGCAGCTTGCTGAAATGCTCATTTCAAAGGTGATTTTCTTCTCATTGTTCACCGTGAGCATGGCACCAAAGTAATCACACACAGCTGTATTTGCCATGCATGAGTTCAGAAGAGAATAATAGACATCAAACACAAATGCCGCTCGTCTTTCTGCAGTTCTTAGTCAAGAAAATACATTATCACACACCATTAATTAGGCTGAAGGCTTTTATTCTTGTAATGCTCCATTTGAACCGGTACACAGCAAGTGACGATGTGTCTGAGAATGTGAATAAAGTCTGTTTGAAATTTGTGAAGGTGAATAAAATGTTCAGATGGGAGGAGGGATCCCTGTACCATATTAAAGGTTAGCAAATGGTGTTAGTCAACAAAAGCACTTCAATTTGAGACAGACCAGGAGACATTTATTCCACTGCCAGATCTTTACTTGTCTTTGATTCTCCCTGCTATATGAACACCTCATTGTCTTTCAAAAGGGCCATATCATGCAAAATCCACTTTTTTAGCCCCAAAATGCATTTTGTTGGATACTTGGAGTCTCTAGGAGAAAGTTGAATTCAGTCTCTTTGGGTTCTGCAAAGGTATATTTATATTCTGTTTGGGTAATATTTTTCAACCCATTCAGTTTACTTTATTGTTTTATGACATTTTCTGAACTATTATGTCAAATTCTTTCTGGTCTAGACTTACCAACTACAATTTCATCGTCTTCATTCTCCTCTTGCTTTGAGACAGACTCAGGCTCATAAAGCAAGAGTTTAAAAGCATATGTCCACATTAATAATGTGGTTCTTTGATTTAAAAAAGTAGCTGTTTATTTAAGAGTTGTGGATTTAGATTTAAATTTATTTCATATTCATCCACAGAAAATACTAATGAAGGTAGGTGGTCTTATTGTTTTTTTTATCCTGCTTAATGGCTTTTTGTTTTCATTTCCAGGGCCATGGGAAACCTTCAGCAGTCGCTAGTATGTTTTGAAAAGCGGCTTGTTGTGGCACATGAGCTAGGCGAGTGCGGAGGCAAGGCTCAGGCCTACGGTGAGCTCGGTGCACTCCACAGCCAATTAGGCAATTACGAGCAGGCCATTTCTTGCCTGGAGCGCCAACTAGCCATCGCCCGTGACACGCAGGACAGACTACTAGAGGGTGACGCCAGCTGTGGTTTGGGAGCTGTGTACCAAGCTATGGGGGAGTACGAGACAGCCCTGCGATGCCACCAAAGTGACCTGGAGATTGCGGAGGAAGCAGGCAGCGCCACACGACAGGCTCGCGCTTATGGGAACCTGGGCCTTACCTACGAGTCACTTGGAAACTACGAGCGAGCGGTTGTGTTTCAAGAACAGCACCTGAGTGTGGCGGCTCAGACTAATGACTTGGCTGCCAAGACACTGGCCTATGGCAGCCTGGGGAGAACACACCATGCTCTGCAGAACTACTCACAAGCTGTCATGTACCTGCAGGAAGGTGAGTGAGTTAAAGGGAGCAGGGGAACGGATTGCCTTTGTTGCTCGAGCTGATAGGCTTAGAGTTTGTGAATTCATGAATATGAAATTCAGAGCCTATTTATTGCTAAGCCTTCGCCACACTTTTATTAGGCTGCATGCATGTGTGTGTGTGTGTTTGAGCTTTTGTACTCACGCGTTATACGTGCACAGGGGGATTTTGTGTGATCATTATGCATTTGTGTTGTCCTCAGCGGTATAGGTATACCAGCATTTGTGTACATCTGCCTCTGCAGACCTATCAGAATGCCGCCAAGTATTTCTTCTGTTTTCTGCTTGGTATTTTTCACACTTCTGTATCTACTTTCTCGGAGGGGGTCTTTGCAGAGAGCTGCTAAAAGAATCTTTTCACACAGAGGCTGTCAGACTCCCACCTGCCCGCCTCTCACATTTTCCTGTCCTATAGATTATGGTGAAATAAGAAGCTGAAGCTTGGCCTCTTGAAAATTAATTATGTTAGTGACACTTTGTGAAGTGTTTGTTGTTGAGAATCTACTACCGTATTTATTCAAGTATAATACGTAAAATTAAATCCATACAATCATCCATAAAGTTGGGGGGGTAGTACTATACTCGGATAAATATTTTTACTTATGTATTTTAACTGAAATATTGGCTTCATTCACAAAATTATTGAGTCTGGAAATGAGACCGCTTCGTAAAAAGCAGTTGAAACGAGCTTACCTCTGACTCTCCTCCGTGCTTCAGAGTGAGATAACAGATCCAGGCAGGCGACATGATGTGAAAAAAAAAGGGGGGCGGGGGAGTATTCCTGCACCTTAGTAATGATAACAAACCAATGACATTAGCGTGTGACCGAGCCGCTCCTGGAACAACAACAAACACATGTTCGTCTGTAATGGCGGCCGTCTACCGGTGTTCTGAAAAAGTTTGTATCCCTGAAAAAAGTTTCCCCACCAGAGGGTGTGCTCGCGAGTAGGAAGTAATCTGCTTTTCCCCCACAAGA